CTCTTGACTCAATTATCTATCTCTTCGATCTCGTTGGTTTTTCTCGTCAGGCTTATATACTAAAAAGAGGGCGTCTCAAATGCACTCGGGCCTTCATGATAATTCGAGAAATTTCAGCGCGCATGCTCCCAGCGTCACGCGTACTTCCGTTGTCATAACAATATAATAAATATTATAAATAACTAAAAATATATACTAGATGTACTTCCGCAGGGTTCCTACAAGTGTTCTGATTCAAGAGTAAATAAAACCAAAATTAAGTGTAACAAATATTTTTATTTCTTGGTTTTAAAGTTAATATGTCATGCTGTATTTTAGCCTACAGAGTGCATAATTCTTCTTGTGATACAGGGCATGCGCACGTTTTCCGGACGTCACTACAGTGCAAATTGTAACATTAAGCATTCCTTAGGTGATACCATGTTCGTGTCTACTGACTGATTGACAGACAACACACTACTGTATAGTGGTGCGAGTGGTTAAAACAGGTGACCCCCTCCAGGCGGCCTTTTGCCCCCTTTCTGGGAAATTAAACTTAAACCTAATTAATTAAAAAATATAACAATGTGGTAAACTTAGACGTCGTATTAAATAATGTAAGCACAACAACTTGGATTATGGTAAGCAACTGAGTGCTATTTTTTCCCCATCATTTCCTTTTATATATGAACGTGGTTTCCTATAGGCTAATATATCACTTTGTGTGAAATTACAGTTTTATATGTGTACTTTTCGTCACTTGGTATGTGTAATAATTTTGTTCCGTACAAAGGGAAACCTTAGCTGGCCATTCATCAAAAACTGGTTGGGAAGATGAAAAACACCATTTTTTGTTTCGTGATGTTGCAGGAAATACCAGAAAATAGTCACGAAATCAAAGAACGTACTCTTTCAGCCTAAAGATATAATAAACAAAGAATTCTTTCATTCTTGTGTATTTGAGCGTCAAGTGCTGCGTGAAGGGTGGGGGTGAACTGAGAATTACAGACCATATAAGTAGTCAGTAGAGAGCGATACCTTGAACGATGGTCACAATGAGTTTTAATCACAATCAAGTACCTTGCTTGCTTTTTGTCTGTAGTAGGTGGATCTTCTTGGGACAGTTAAGAATGGTCATACACACAGTAGATAACGTATCTAAGAATATGACATTCGGAACATCATCTTTTGTGTTACTCACAGGGCTAATGTCGAAAAACTCCTCGATTTAACAACCAAACCCAATTTATTTGTAGACGTTTAGTTTTCCTACGTTTAAGAAAAATACTTCTCTCTATCGATATCATATTTTAAAAGTTCAAGTTAAACCAACCCAAGGAGTATATGTATATTTAATTGGCGCAGATAGCTACGTTGCTTTGCACCAATAAACCCCAAACATAAACTATATTTAATTATTGTTCTTCAAGGAAAAAAAACAACAACACCTATTTAGTCACTATGTCATAGATTAGTCAAAGGTGGTATATATGTTTTTATTTAGTTTATGGCATACTACTGTTCTGAAGTTACAAGAGAAAACCTACAATCACATTTCCTCTTACAGGGATTAATAGGAAGGCACAGTTGTTGCTAACACACTATAAGTACGGTATAATCACAGTGGAACCTCTGGTGGTATTCCCTCGGTGTTATCCCAATGACATTAATTGATTAA